TTACAGCTTTCTGAAAAAAGATTGTTTTTAAAAAACACCAGCTCTACACGCACACACAAGCTAAAAATGGTAATGAGAGGGGGTGAAAACAGCTCTGATTATTTAAGGCAGGCTCTCTGTAAGGCGTTAAAAAAGTCCGTTGCTGTAAGCTCTCAAAAGTTAGTCCAAAGTGTCTCAGTGTGGCTTTGCGTGAAGACATCATCCTGAGTGCATTGTGTAAATGTGTCCATCTTTATACGTTTAAATGTGCATGTGATAACGTGTGTGTGTGTGTGTTTATATATGCTTTGGGTCGTCCCTCACACCGCTAGGCTGGGTGCTCCTCGGGGTCCTTGTACCAGACGACCTTTTTCAGACCTGCAGAAAGAGCAAGAAATAGAGGTCAGCGGGAGAGAACTGGAGGGCCTCAATGTAAACAACACGTCTACAGACAATAAGTGTGTGTGTGTGTGTGTGTGTGTGGGGGTGTGTGTGTGTGTGGGGGTGTGTGTGTGTGTGTGTGTGTGTGTGTGTGTGGGTGTGTGTGTGTGTGTGTGTGTGTGAATACAATGTCTCTGGTGTGAAAAGGGAAGCCAAATGGTCACATCCTGTTGGAGCCATTTCACGTCAATAGGATAATTATAGTTTGAATATCTGCAATTAATGTACTTAATTATTTGCTTTTGTGAATTACACTTGGATGAAAGCATGTTCATTTAAGTTCACTTTTAAATTGAGGACGTTCATGTCGATCGTTTGTGTGTGTCGTAGCTTTAAATCAGAAGTAATGTTCCACGTAATCATCGTCCAAGTGTTGAGCGAGTGCTTTGAGTCCACGTACCTTTTTTCTGTTTGTTACAGATAGCGTTCCATTCTGAGGAGAGAAGAAGAAAGTCGAATTAAAGGACTGAAATTAAAGTTTTTTTACATTTAGCTGTCGTTGTTATTCTAAAAATGGACTTGCAATCTAACAAATCAATAAGTGCAACCATTAAGACACAAACTCAAAGCGAGAATCGGGTACATTTCCCGTCTCTAAGCCCGAGCACATTTAAGTGCTACTGCATTAATTCACTTAAAGACAGACGGGCTACGTACTGAAGAGATTTAGTTTTTTTTAGAAAATATGTAGTCAAACGGATTTGTTTTCAGTCTGCGACGGACTGCGTGTAGACTCTTCATTTCTTTTTTGACAGAGTTAAGTATATTTAACTAGAGAGTATAATAAGTTCAAAAGATTACAAAAAACCTCCTTATAGTGTGTCGAAAACACGAAGGGAAAAAACACAGCATAGTACATCCGAAATATCTGAGAGGCCGACAACAAGTTACGTCATTTAAATAAATGAATCACCTGACAGGCTGAGAGTTCAAAGCTTTAAGTGCTACGGCATCAGCTTCACTTAAAGCCAGACATTTCTAAGTGCTACGTACATTTTGACTTTAGCAAAGATTCAGTCGAACAGATTGGTTTTCAGACCGTGTGCAGACAAAATACTACACAGTATAATAAGTTCAAAAAAACATAATTATAGTGTGTCAAAAATGTCTGAGAAGTCGACAACAAGTTACACATTTTGTCATTTAAAGAAACCATCCTCCAGTTGTGCTCACCTCTACTGTGATAGTTCAAAGCTTCCACTAGGTGGCGACAGCTGAGCAGCAGCTTCCCGTTGCTCTCGTCCTCCTCTGGGCGCGTGTTGGTGTTTGGGGGAACAGCGGTAGCGACGGGAGTGGGCGTGTCTTCCGGAAGCGTCTGTGGATCTGCTGGCTGTTGTTGGGCGTCTGTGGTTGTGGAGGCGGCGTTCCGGCTCTCTCCAGGCGGCCTGGCCTCGCTGATGAAACTGAGCCCCCACTGGTTCTGCAGCAGCACCCCAATGGCCGGGCGTTCCTCCTCCTCCAGCCCCCCAATGGCCGCTCTCGCCTTCACCTTGGAGGCGTAGCTGACGGCCGGCTGCAGCTTGGCGGGGCTGTCCTGCACCGGGAAGGCAGGCGGAGGTTTGAGCAGCGACAGACTGTCTTCAACCCACCTCTCCTTCTGGTTCTGGTGGACTTTAGATGCCCGCCCGACCCCCTTTTGGCTCTCTCTACGGAGACTTCGGCCTTTGTGCTGCTGGTGCTTGCGCTCTTTGTCTCTGCTGCTAAAGGTGTGCACGTGGCGGATCAGCTCGCCTTCGGGTAAAATGCTCCGGGGCTGAGGTTGGTCTCCTCCTCCTCCAGAGATGCAGCTTCCTCCTCCTCCACCACAGTTCCCAGAGCCAGGTGACAGGCGACGGTTGCGAATGTGAGGCTCTGAGTTTGTGGAGGCAACGAGGACTGCTGGATCGCACAGAGTGTCGGACTCACACACAGGGTTGCTGGCTTCCCATGTACCTGAAAGAGATGTTCCATAAGTTACCTTTGCCGTGTAGGAGGTTACATTTTGACTGGGGAAAATCTAGCACTGTCATGCTCACACAAAGATATCTAAATGAAAATGAGTTCACCAAATAGTCTACTCCTAACAGACCACCATGCGGTTTCTTGCGTGCTGCATGAATGTGTTATTTCCTGAAAAAGGCATATTTAAAAATGTCTGCGTGCACACGGTATTCTAGAGACAGTCAGGGCAAAAATGATATGATGTTAGTGCTCTTATTGTAGTGAGATCAGTTACTGAAACTTTATTTGCTTGATAAAACGAGCTGTGGGATAACAGCCTCAGCACATTTACATAAATCTATTTCATATTTTTAACAGTAAGGATCATTTGTAGCTTAACAGGCAAGTCCTGGACTTATTCCACAACAATGCTTATATTACCTAGATATGATGAACATCAGACATGTTTCAGTTCTTGGGGATTTATTAGGATACCATTACCTAGGACTGAGGTTCAGAAAAAACACAACTACACCCATCTCTGCCCGGCTCTTTCTGTTTAACAACAGTGAGATTCTTGTCCACACACACACAAGAGTCAAACACACAGTAAAAGGTGTGTCACTCCACAAGACTCTTTACTTTGCACCGGGTTATAAAAGGATTTTCCCACAGCCTCAATAAAACAAACATCAGGAAGTTAAGGCACATTATCACATGATTTCTCTGAGCAGCAATATAAAGATACCAGGGTATTCAAATGGACTGATATCATACCATGTAAATGAGTGAGTCTACGGTACTGAAAATCATTTGCATAGGTGTGTGTGTGTGTTTAACATACAAGGCCCAAGCTTATACTGTAGTTTTTAATCACTCACTGAAATTATACTTTTTTTTTTTTTTTTTTAAACACTTGTCCTTCTTATGAGATGATGAATACTAAAAGGAACAGGAATACTCTGTTACTCAAGTAAAAGTAGAATTACTCAGATCTTGTACTTGAGTAAAAGTAGAAGTACTCAGGGTAGCTTGTGAATGTACTCCAGGTGGAACTAAAGTCTGATTTAACACGTGATTATATTTCACATCATTAATCCAAACCTGTAAATTGACTCAAAAAGGTATTATATAAATGTAGTGAGGTAGAAGTACAAATTAGCATAAATGGAGATACTCAAGTAAAGTACCTTAAAATTGTGCTTAAGTAGTGTACTTGAGTTAATGTACTTAGTTACTTTACACCACTGGTTATATATAGTCTTACATAACCTGTAGGGTCACAAACCCGATTAAGAAAAAGGACACTCGGCCTGAACAGCGTGCTGCTCAAAGCGCTTCATATTAAACAAAATGGAGAGGGTTGCTAATCCAGGTTATCCTTTACAAACACCATGACAATAATCTAATTATATATACACACAGATTTCTCTGTAGCTGAGTCGATAACAACATGTAGGGATTTGTTTTTGCGGTGTTGGCAGCTACCGGTGTTAGCAAACTTTAATTAGCATCGTCACGGTACGGCAGTGAAAACTCGACATTTTCTTTCATAAACAGTTTAAACATATTCATTACATTTAAAATACATCCCATTAACCGTTGTCGTCGTGGAGATATCTTCATATTTGTCACCACATCGTGAAATGTACAGCTTAGCTTAGCACGTTAGCTTAAGTTTCGTAACCCTCCATTCAAAAAGCGGCTAACACGCTAAGCTAACGTAGGCTAACACCGTCGCCAAGACAACAAAACAGCCGTTGAAAGTGAGGAGTTTTCGGTCACGTCTGTCACAAAGTGGTCCAAACTCACCTGTTTTAATATGCATGTCTTTTCGTGTAGCGTGTCGGGAGAGTTTAGCCCTGGAGTAACTTTTGTTTACAGCGTTCAGATCTCGACGGCTCACTGGATAATAAAGTCTGTGTGGTTGTGTCACCCGGAAGAGACACGAGAATGTGGGTGGGACCGGAAGTTAGTGCAAGATAAGCGGTGCGGCGGGAAACTTGGTAGGGAGTTTTTATATTCAAATCTGACCTGTAGACCCCCATGTGACAGCCACGTGGTCGCAGTGATTGGAGATAATGGGGATGTTTTCTTTTAATGGCCAGAGATGGAAGAAGTACTCGGATCTTGTTCTTAAGTAAAAGTACACAAATACAAGAGTAGGAAATACTCTGGCCTGCATTCAAAAGGTTACTCAAGTACAAGAGTGTTGGAATATTCTGGCCTGCATTCAAAAGGTTACTCAAGTAAAAGTACACAAATATCTGCATCAAAATATACTTAAAGTGCCAAAAGTAAAAAGAACACGCTATGCAGAATTACCGTTATTTAAATTACATATATTATATCACTGTATAATTGGCAGAGGTGGAAGAAGTACTCAGATCTTGTAATTAAGTACAAGAGTGTAGGAATACTCTGGCCTGCATTCAAAAGGTTACTCAAGTAAAAGTATACAAGTACAAGAGAGTAGGAATACTCTGGCCTGTATTCAAAAGGTTACTTGAATAAAAGTATACAAGTACAAGAGAGTAGGAATACTCTGGGCTGTATTCAAAAGGTCACTCGAGTAAAAGTACACAAATATCTGCATCAAAATATTCCTAAAGTACCAAACGTGAAAATAACTTGCTATGCAGAATGACCGTTATTCAAATAATATATATTATATCTGCGTATAATTGGCGATTTACAATTAAATTATTGTTTGCAGCTAGTAGGTGTCTTGTACACCAACATTTATTATTTTATTTAACCAGATAAAAAGCATTGAGATAAAATCTCATTTACAATGCTGACCTGGCCAAGAAGGCAATAACGTTACACATAGCACATAACACAAACATATAAAATACAGAGAACATAACTAAGAAAACAAAAGACGAAAAAAGCAGTTACTACATTGTGCACATTAGGACAGTAAGAAAGGCACTACTTATTACTGCAAGAGCAGCTGGTGGTAAGGACCTCTGACAACTTCAATTTAAAACATGCTATAGGGACAATTGCCCTCAGTTTGAGGCGTGATTGAAGGTCATTCCAAGACCAAGGACCATAATGAAAGAGACTCCTTTTTCCAGCCTCAGTCCGCACAGCAGGAACCTGGAACCGTATCCAGGCACTGGATCTGAGGTTGTAAAAGTCACAAACTGGAGCAAATCTGGCACATATGTAGAGTGGAAGCTTTCCTAAGATGGCTTTATACATTAATAAAAACCAATGCTGCATCCTACGCATAGTGAGTGAGGACCATCCAGTTAGGCTATACAGTGTGCAATGATGAGTCCTATAGGGTGCATTTGATATATAACGCAGTGCAGCATGGTAGAGTGGGTCAAGTTTGGCCAAGACAGTGGGACAGGCAAATCTATGAATGGTATCACCGTGGTCCAGCTGGGACAGGAATAAGCCAGAGACCAACCTTTTACGGGATGAAG